GCTTTGCAATAACTTACTAAGTAGTTAAATACATTGTTAATGCTTTGCAATATCTTACTAAGGAGTTAAATACATTGTTAATGCTTTGCAATATCTTACTAAGGAGTTAAATACATTGTTAATGCTTTGCAATATCTTACTAAGGAGTTAAATACATTGTTAATGCTTTGCAATATCTTACTAAGGAGTTAAATACATTGTTAATGCTTTGCAATATCTTACTAAGGAGTTAAATACATTGTTAATGCTTTGCAATATCTTACTAAGGAGTTAAATACATTGTTAACGCTTTGCAATATCTTACTAAGGAGTTAAATACACTAGACCCGTAAACTGGTTTGAACAAAAGACGTTTCATTGTTCGTGTTAATTCGGACACCCGGGTAGACTGTCAGAAAAGACCCGCTTGAATCTGTCCGCTCGCTTTTTGTGCGGGCCCTAGAGTGTTTGCGCTGTCCCCCGCAGATGTCCGACATGCCAAAGCCCGCCTTCATGAAGCAGAACCTGGACGCGCTGGGAATCGGGACCTACCACAACATCGCCTTCATCCACCCGGACACGCCCATCATCAAGGCCCTGAACGTCTTTGTGGAGAGACGGGTGTCCGCCTTGCCTGTCGTGGACGAGTCGGGTGCGTGTTTGGCCCTAAACTGAAACACTTGTCCCCGTAACGTTCCTACCAAATAGCCTTGCGTGGGAGATGAGTGGGGGAAGTGAACATTCAGACCCGGCGAATAAATTCAGCCCCGAGGAGCACTCTGGATAATAAGAATCTTAAATTGGCTTCATTTTCACATGTTCCGCTAAGATACAATTTCATGTTGATTTAAAAATAGACACCTGTAGCCCTGGCCTGTGTGGCTAAGTGGTTTAGAGCATCAGCCCTCGCACGGAGGCGCCTCGGGTTCGATTTCCCATCAAAGGCACATACTGGGGTTGCAGGTTCGATCCCAGGGTCGCATGCAGGAGGCAGCCAATGGCTGTGTCCCTCCCTCCCTTCCACTCTCTCTGAAAAGACGCGTGTATTTTATTTAGCAATACGTAATTCTTTAACCATGGCCTAGTTCAGATTCATTTTAAATGGATTTTTTTGTTGTTGTTTCTAAGACACTTTTCTAACATATGTTTTCGTTTTTAGGGAAAGTTGTAGATATTTATTCCAAGTTTGATGTAATTGTAAGTATTTTTCAATTTCGTTAAACCCACCATCTAGACTGCATTTAATACGTAGTAAATAACGTGCTTTTGTGGTTTTCCGTCACTTAATGCGTGTCTAGCTTTTCGGAGTGTAAAGATCTTACCAGGGAATCCCGTAGACTCCCTGTAGTAATTGCGCTTTCACTGTTCACTAGTTTAGCAACGGGTAGCACATTAGTAGCATTTCTTGTCCCTTTTCAGCACGTGTGCGATTTATGCATCGCTACAGCATGTGCGTGTATTTTAAACGGCCCTGGTTCCATGTGGGGACATTAGTCCAACAGACACGCGCTCGGCGCACATGAACTTGCAGTCATGTGCATCCCGTTGTTGGATGACCGGGGACAACTGTTCTAAAGAAGACAGCAAGGGGACCGAATAGTCTCATCAAGTCCCACTTGCATCCCTGGTTTAAATCTGCCGGGTTGACTTCGGGGCTACATCTTTCCCCTCGATGCTTTTCTTCCTCACTCATTTTTCATTAAACGCACGTCCTTAAAGCCTTCCGCCGCTGCTGAGAAAGGGAACTGCAACTTGGGTGGCCCCACGCGGGCACACCGTTCGGGGGCCATCACGTTGACCCCAGCGTTGAATGCCCTGGGCAGCTGTCTCAAGGCCTTCTGTCTGCCCTGCCCCGGTTAGCATACTAGACACCAAAAAATGGGCTCGTTGGCATGCAGTTGAGTGGGACCTGCTAAGATTAATGAGAACCCCAAGACGGGTTCCCAGGAAGGGCCTATCAACACTTCTCACCCTAGGTTAGTCTACCTCTCAAAAGGCTGTTTATGCAGGTAGGGAGCCTTGAACGTGAGGATGGGTGGGACGGGGAGGGGTCTTTAGAAGGACGCCCCGTCGCTTTAACAAGGCTGCTCCCCGATTAAGGTCCCACCCTGTGAGTTCTCATTATCCCCGAGATGACGACGACAGCAGGTCTGACGGCACATTGCGGGCTGGTGTGCTGGCGCTGAATAAGCCGTGTGTTTAAAATCGGGTGGCTTTAGACTTACTAATTTGGGGCATTGGTGTGAACTGAAGTGAAAGTTAATTCATTGTGTGACTTTATTACAGAACCTTGCTGCTGAAAAAACATACAATAACCTAGATATCACGGTGACCCAGGCACTCCAGCACCGCTCCCAGTATTTCGAGGGCGTCGTCAAGTGCAGTAAGCTGGAAATACTGGAGACCATTGTGGACAGGATCGTAAGAGCGGAGGTGAGAGGGCTGTTTCAGATTCCTTCATCCCCCC